GTTCGAATTGCTAACCTTGCAGTTAGCCCAACAGGTAATGCACTATACCACCAATGCTCTTTATACACCTCTATAGTCAACTGATTTTCTACAAGGATGTTAAATCCATCCAAGATAGAGTAAGAGTCTTCAACAAATGGTTCTGGGAAAATTAGGCAGCACATGCAAAAGAATGAATCTTGCTCTAAGCCCAACACCACATACAAAAACCAATTCAAAAAACAGATCAAGGGCCTAAATGTGAGAAATAAAGCCATAAAATTCTTAGAAAAAAGTATAGGGGTGTGGCTACAGAACCTGGATTCTAAAGGTGGATTTAAAATGGCAAAAGTAAAGACAGCATAAAGACCTCATTAAAGTTAAATATTTTTCTTTATCAAAAGACTATCAAAAACGATGAAGACAGACAAGGAAATGAGAGAACATTTACAGGAATCAAATTATCCAATGACCGTACAATGTCCAAAATACATTTTTAAACTTCTAAAGCTCAGTAACGAAAAGACAAGCAACTCAATCAAAAAAATTCATGAAAGACTTGAATAGACAGCTCACTAATGAGTATAATCAAATGGTCAACAAGCTCCTGGAAAGATGCTCCACATAATTAGCCATTACCCAAAACCCACTACCATCCAATCAATTACAACTCACCACAGTCCTATAGGAGAGAGTGCAAATGCCCCAAGGAATTTCCAAGGTTGTAATCCTTATAGAAGCACACTGCCAATCTCACTCCCACCAAGACACCGGAGAGTTCAAACCACCACCTTTTCGGTTAGCAAGTGCCCACCATCCTTTCATTGGACATTAGGGAGATGAAAATCAAAACGAAATACTGTACCTCACCCCAATGGGATGATAGTGATTTTAAAAAAAGGAAAACAGCAGCGTTGGTGAAATGACAGAGATGCTGGAATTCTCATTCATTGCTGGTAAGAATGTAAAATGGTGCAGTCGTTATAAAACACAATTTGGTAGGTTCCTTAAGAAGCTATACACAGTACAATCATATGACTCAGCAATCCCAATCCTAGGTATATACTGAGGAGAAACAAAACCAAGATGCAAACCAGTACATGTACATCAATGTGCACTGTGTTACTTTTCACAATGGAGAAAATCAGAAATGTCCACCAACAGATAGGAAAACCTAGTGTATACATGCACACAATGGGATGCGCCGTTAGTCATAAAAAGAAGTGAAGTTCTGACACATGCCACTACAGGGATGGAATTTGGAAACTTGTGGAGTAAACTCAGTCACAAAAGGGCATAGTAAGCAAAACAATTATGTAGAAAACAAAGACCATTACAGGATAGCAGGAGTGTGAGGGAGGAGACAAGAGTCTTTCCTTATGGGGCCTTACAAGCCCCGAGTCTATGCCATGGTGGTGAAATAATTTGGAAAAGGAAAGAAAGAGTAGTCAAATATATGAAAGAATATAATCATTATCATGGAATTTCACATGTACAAATTGTTGATGGGGTGTTTTGTTATGTAAATTTCACGAGTTAAAAAAATTAAACTACAGTCAACTTTAGTGGGTACCAGATGCAGATAATCTACATTTTCCCTACTCCTGTTCTTAAAGGAGCTTCCTTACCCAATGCGTCATCAGGAGGATGGCATGGAGATCTGGCAAGGGGCGGTGAGCTGGGGTCCACAAGCCACTCACTGCCTCAGTTTGCTCTCCAATACAGCTACTTCCTTTGTGCCCTCAGTGGGTTTAATGTTAACATACGTTTTCTACTAACACTTTTTACTTCGTGGAGTTCTGTGTATCTGCTATCTCCAAGTTACATGGTAGATGAGATTATAGATGAAGAACTACATATTTACTGATAGCAATGTAAACATGTACACAAACACAATTACGACAAGAACAGTGATTAAATCTAACCAGTCAATGTGGCTACTACAATATAGGCGTTAAGGAAAAGGATGAGAGAACTGGTCCCTGGAGCTCAAGGTTCAGTCAAACTAACAGACAGGCCATAAGGTGAACAGTGACCACCAAGGAGGCACGTAAGAACCAAGGACACAAAACCAAGA